AGTTTGGGCTGTTCATCTCATTCCATAGTGGAAGTTTTTAGCCAAACTGTCTTAAAAGAAGATATTTTGTTTCTAAATCAGATTCGTGTTACTGAATGATAAAGGTGTTTTGAGAATTTAGATTTCATTTGTTTCTAATTCCAATCCATAATTATAGACTGAGGTAAAGACTGAGTATTTTAATCATCCTAACGTCTGTCTCTAAATTTTCTTCCATATTATAGGATCTCTAGGAAATACCAGAATTATCAGCGAAGAATATGTTAAATGGCTCAAGGGCTACTGTGAGGCATTTTTCTATGGCTTAACAGTGAAACTCCTAGAACCAGTCCCCGTCTCTGCAACCAGGTGTGCCTTCAGAGTCAATGATAGCACGGAGAACCTACAGATACATGCAGGTGAATGGAACAACTTCACAATTTTAATTGAGTCCAGGATGTGGAGATATATATAGCTAACACACGTACATATCTTTTTGAGTAGGGCACATCCTGCACTTCTTGAAAAAGAAGAAACCTGAAGATGCCTTCTGCATTGTGGGAGTAACGATGATTGATCTTTACCCCAGAGACTCCTGGAATTTCGTCTTTGGACAGGCCTCTTTGACAGATGGTATTCCTTTTTGGCATTGTTTGTAGAAACTTTCTGAATATTGGAAGATGCTGAAAAAGGGAAAAAAATCCATTATAATTTTGATGAAGGATATTTGAACTCCCATTAACTTAAGTGAAAATCTTGCTTAATTGTTTTTTTAACTTTTTGTGGTCGTTTTGCATAGATGGAAGAGCCACACATTGCTTTATAAGTGCGTGCTTGTCCTGTGTTTGATTTTATTTTAAAAGAAAATAATTTGTTATTTTATTTTTAAAAGTAAGCTTCAGTCCGTTATTGGAGATACAGTAAACTTTGACTCATTAGAAACCCTGCATGGTAATGTTGGGGGTGGGAAAGGATCCAGAAGAAAATCATAATTTTTGCCTATTTTTTTTTGTCTTTACTTCTGTTCTCCTACTCATCCTTTTTTAAAAAAATCTTCACTTGAGGATATGTTTATTGATTTTAGAGAGAATAAGGGAGAGAGAGCGAGAGAGAGAGAGAAAAGAAAGAAAGAAAGAAAGAAAGAAAGAAAGAAAGAAAGAAAGAAAGAAAGAAAGAAAGAAAGAAAAGAAAAGAAAGAGAAAGAAAGAAAGACAGACATTGATCGGTTGCCTCCTGTACATACCCCGACTGGGGATTGAATCTGTAACCTAGGAATGTGCCCTGACTGGGAATTGAACCCAAAACCTCTTGGTGGTGTTTGGGACAACACTCCAACCAACTGAGCCACCTAGCCAGGGCCCTCATGTCCATTTTTGCTCTTATTTCTCTACCCTTATCCCCAGGCTCAGAGACCCGTTTGAAGGGGAAAGGTCCTGGTACTTGCCCACCATCCCCAAAACTAAGGGGAGTGGTTGTCCATTAATGTTTTTGGGATGATGGGCAAGTACCAGGACTGTACTTTATGATACCAACTGTATGGACTGTCTGGATCACATATTAGCCTCCCTCTGACAAATGTTTCTATTAGCTGTCTCCTTCTCTTACCCGAATTCATCAGAGGTACAGGCCCAGGACACTACCCCTTCATCCTCAATTCTCCAGTATCTTCTTATGGCCCCGACTCTCCCCATGACCCTACCAATACACTCTTTTGTAGACTTGGGTCACTGCTGTGTTCCTGGGTTGCGCTGCCTTTCTATCAAAAATGAACTTGTATGAGCTAAATTTTTTTCTCTCCTTTTATTTTTAACCTGGTAGAGGTGGAAAAAATTTTAAAAGTAAAACTATTTATGTAGATACTAGAGGCCTGATGCATAAAATTCGTGCAAGGGGCTTGGCCCTTGCAGCCGCGGCACCCGGCTTCAACTGGAAGGTCGTTTGGCTGTCTGGTCTAATTAGCATATTGCGCTTTTATTATCATAGATTGCTGGCTAATTTATCTTGTACAGTTGAGGAGGTCAGGAAGCATTCCTCCAAAACGTTTCTACTTTAATTTTTTTAAGTTTCGTAAATACTGCATCACATACAAGAAACAGTAGCAAGCCAGCAGCATTGATCTGCCAGGCAGTGAGACAGTATCTTACAAGTGACTTTATTCTCTCCAGGTTTACAAAGAGTTGTGCTTTTAAATTGAGAAATGTTTAATTATAAAGAAAACAGTCTTCTATTTGTAGAATCATTAGGACGCATTCCCCCGAAATGCTCTTACCAAAGGTATTGTCGTAAAATACACCCACACTTTTTGGCCAGAGGAGGTTACTTGTGACACATGAGTAGATTCGGTTTCCTTCTTAACTTCCAGAATGTTTCCTTCTCCCTAAATTTCAAATACCAGTGGACACTTTCCCAGGAAGATTCTTTCTGAATCAAGTTGGATTGGACAAACTTACTATGAAATCATTTCCGTAACAAAAAGGCTTCTTATGACTTTCAAATAAGAACTGAAAAGCATAACTAACAGTGGTTATGTAAACAAGTCAGATTATAAGGCAGTCCTCATTAGAATGAGTTGAAAATCATACTCTGTCCCCATGTGTGTGAAGATGGTTTAGACAAGCCTAAGACCTAACACAGGAAGTCAGTTACAAGAAGGTTTATTCTGGTTCCCTGACTCCAGCCACATAACAGAGTTGTGCTGTGCCTAAGAAGGGGGAGGGGGGTAGAGGTTCTGTCTTTTGTCTAAGGGCGTGGGCATGGTCTCCACGGCCTCAGGGGCATAGCATGAGGGAAGGAAAGGCCCCCTCACTGACACATAGGTCATGGAGATCTGTTTATTGTGGGGTTTTAAAAAATATATTTTCATTGATTTCAGAGAGGAAGGGGGAGAGAGAGAGAGATAGGAACATCAATGATGAGAGAGCCATTGATCAGCTGCCTCCTGCATGCCCCACACTGGGGATCGAGCCCACAACCTGGGCATGTGCCCTGACTGGGAATTGAACCTGACCTCCTGGTTCATAGGTCGATGCTCAACCACTGAGCCATGCTGGCTGGGCTTTTTATCGTGTTCTTAAAGAGAAAAGTCATGAGTGTGTGTTGTTCGTATGATCATTTTCATTGCTCTTTCTGGAGTACTTGATTTGGACTATTCTTTGAGAAAAAGACTTCCTTTGTGGGAAAACCAAACCCTCCATAACTTCCAGTTTGTCAAGAATTTGACAAAAGACAATTGAGCTTTACAAGGCAGGACACATTGGATAGTAGAAGAAAGTTTCGAGAGGGAAATCTGGGGCAAAGTCCTCCTTTGTCTTGGCAGACCTGAGGCATATTGGGCTCCGTGAAGGCAGGAGTACAGACACGCACTCCCTGGCCGGACGCCCTGCAGGAATCTGACTGTCGTTCTGCTGTCGCTTGTCCTCTTTCCGTAGGTGTGGGGATATTCAGCTTTGCCAGGTATGGCGGTGACTTTTACAGCTCAAGCTACAAAGGCAAAGTGAAGGCGTCGCAGAGACAATCTTCGCGTGACTATTCGGTGTTTGATAACTATTACACTCCTGAAGTGACCAGTGTTCTGCTGCTTCGGTCCTGCAAGGTGAGTTGTTTACAAAATCTAACAGGATTATTAGTAAAGAGGTCTTAATCCCCTCCACTGCACATCCACGCTCCTTAAGGTAATATTATCAATGAGCTTGTATCACTTGTCTAGTTTTGGTGGCTATTGCTTGACTGAAATAATGGATACCTTAATATTGAAATGTACAGTACCTGTGCCCGTTTTTTGTCCTGTTAGTTATACGCAGCCTTGGCTGTGGCCACATCCTTACCATTAGTTTAATTCCAGAATTCTGTAGAAGTAGGTAGCCCACCCTTTCAGGCTGCTGCTGGCCATCAAGGAAAGCTGCCTTCCTGGGGCCTGGAGGGTTAAGGAGAAAGGCCATCTTCTTGGTCTCCAGGCTCCCTTCTCCTGCCTTGGTCCTACTGACAGTTCCTGATGTCTCCCCCGCCACTGCTCTTGGAAAGCCTATCTCCTCGTATTGTTGATAGCCAGGGACATAGGCTTTTCTGCTTTTCCCAGCACTATCTGTGGGGTTTGACAACATCACCTCATAGAGCAATGTTTTCAGTGAACATTCCCTGCATCGGCTTCACCTCGTGTGCTTGTTAACATGCAGGTCAAGGCTCTCCTCCCAGACCCACTGACACAGCATCTCTGGGGGAAGGGCCCCGGGCTGTAAATGGTTACACAGGCTCTCAACCAGCAGCAGTCTCACCACCCAGCGATCATTTGGCCATGTGGGGGGATATTTCTGGTTGTCACAGTTGGGGAATGGGTGCTACTGGCATCTAGTAGGGAGAGTTCAGGGGTGCTGCTAAGTATCCTTCAGAGCACAGGATAGCTTCCTTCCCCCCCAAAATCTTCCCACCCAAAGTATCAGTGGTGTCGAAATTGAGAAACCCTGGTCCGGTAATTAAGCGGTTAAGTGTAGTGAAGAAAGCAGGAAGACATTTAAGGAGATGAGGGGTTAAGTCTTTGGGCAGATTGAAGTTTGGGGGATGATGGTAAGGGAATTGATTCCTACAAATCTGTTTCTTAGAAAAGTAAGGAAAAAGCAAGGGTGTGTAGCTTATTGTTGATGATGGTGGCTCTATAAAGCCTCAATGTGAATGTCTTGCAGACTTTAACCCACGAGATTGGACACATATTTGGACTTCGACACTGCCAGTGGCTGGCATGCCTAATGCAAGGCTCCAACCACTTGGAAGAAGCTGACCGGCGCCCCCTAGATCTGTGTCCCATCTGTTTACGCAAGTTGCAATGTGCTATTGGCTTCAACATTGTAGAAAGATACCAAGTAAATTGGGGTGGGGTCGTCAGAAGGGAGAAGTGGTTATATAAATAGCAAACTACGATTTTATATTAGCCTTCTCTGGAGCTGTCATTTATCAGAGGAAATTAGTGCAGAGATAAGCAGGAAGCTGTGGTTAAAAAAAAAAGAGAGAGAAATATCCTCCTTAAAAACTTGACTTGCCTCTGAGTGCCTTACCCTTGTAGTTCATGAGCAGTGGTGGAGGAGGTTTCTGCATTTGCCATTCATTTATGACAAGAGCCTGAATCTTCAGAACAGAATAAATGTTGATGCGTGTGCAAAGTTCCTTTTTAAAAACTATAAAAATGTTGAGGTGATTCACCTTACCAAATATGGGACAGAGGTATAGTCATTACGAGGAAAAGATGATTTTAAGAAGGAAGAGGGAAAGTACATAATCTCAGTATGTGTAAAGGTATGTGTGTCCTCAAGTGCCCACAAACAACACTACTCATGGTACAACTACCCATGCAGGTAACTACATTACATGTCTACATGTACCTTCATATGTCTACACTTAACCTATGTGTACGCATTCATATCAAATCAAAAGCATAGTTTAATGCCTTGTGGGATATTTAGCAAGTTGAGAAAACAATATTCTCCCACCCTAAAAAACTGTGAGGATTAGTGTATTT